TCTTCATTCTCTGACCGGAAGAGAAGCTCCAGAAATGAATGAATGTGGGCATCATAACAACCCCAGCGCAGTCACGCCGCTCACAGACCTGTAATAACAACACCACGAGCTCTGAGAAACACACAAAGACCCCTCATCATCTCACTCTCACATACAAAGACAGGTAATACCGCGGTAATGTGAGCCGTGACACTCTGTTCAGGTAATTTAATAGGCTCATTTACACACAGTCAGACAATCAGCTCCAGATGTGGAGAAACAGCGAGAGCGTGACCTACACACACACACACACACACAAACACACAACACACACACACACAACATCTCTCCATCACACAACATCTCTCGCATTTCTAACCATGTGGGGACATTGTTTGATCTCTTGGAGTGAAGCTGCTCATAAATCAGCCAGGATGGAGAATTGTGAAGATGTAGACGTGCAGATTATGAGCTGTGAGTGTCGAGTTTAGGGTTACAGTTGTGGAAGAGATGTATAATGAGCTGTTACAGTATAAAATACCTCTCCCTCATGGAGGGTCCTCATAAACCACCAATACCAGCATGAGTGTGTGTGTGTTACGTGGAAATTTCCCTGCTGTATAATGTGACTTCAGAAGCTCACCAGCTCCCAGAATGCCTTGCATGGCAGAACGTCTGAGTGTGTGTGTGTGTGTGTGTGTGTGTGTGTGTGTGTGTGTGTGTGTGTGTGTGTGTGTGTGTGTGTGTATTTGTGTGTGTGTGTGTGTGTGTGTGTGTGTGTCTCTGCGTTGGCCAAGTGCTAATTTAATCTCAGTTGTCATGGATTCATGACTGATATTGTTTCTAAGGTTTCTCCATTGACAGTCTGTGAGGAGTCTTCCCCCTCTGACAGAACTGATCAGCTTATTGATCGTCTGATCGATCACTCTGATCTTAAACTCAGTTTAGCACATCAGAAGTAAAATGTCTTTAAAATGCATCATTTAACCTCAGTGATGTCAATAAACTGCCTAAAAGAGTGTTTGACAGTGATTGCTGGTCCACCATTGCTTCAACAGTGATGTGGCACCGTCACTGAGGGATCTGTGCTGTTGTCAGTCTATGGTCTGTTGTTGCGTGTCGAATCTCTGCTGGTTAATCTGAGTTAGTTGGTTAATGTGCTCTGGTTAGTCTCCGTCTGACCTCAGTTTGAGTCTCTGTTGTTTCTGAGTTGTTTTCAGACTTTGGGCTGGTAAAAATAGTCAAACTGTGTGAAAGGAAAGTATTTGGCTGTGGCGTTAATAAAGACACGAGCGCTGACGAAAGTGTGAACACTGCGAATGACGCACGCAGGATCCCAATCACAGAAATAACACGGCGAGCGTCTGGCTGTCGACTCACACTTTCTGCTTTTACATGCAGATCCTGCAGAAGGCGCAGAGATGACCTGCTTCTGCTGCTGTTTACACCGATAAACACATCCTGGAGATATTCTACATTATAATACAGTGCTGTAGATGTTAGTGTCGGTCTGTTAGTCGAGGATCTAGTGCACAGGTCTCAGACTCAGCTCCTGGAGGGCCGCAGCTCTGCACAGTTGTGCTCCAACTCTCCTCAAACACAGCTGATAGTGGGAGACCCGGTTTAATAACAAGATCAGTGGATCAGCTGTGTGAGTAGGATGGAGCAGACCTGTGCAGAGCTGCGGCTCTCCAGGACAGAGTTCGAGACCCCTGATCTAGTGTCTCCAAACCTGACAGATTTGACCTGCAGCAGATGTAACCCTG